TACAAAAAGGATGTGGACGCATTGGAGAGGGTCCAGCGGAGGGCAACCAAAATGATTAGGGGGCTGGAGCACATGACCTATGAGGAGAGGCTGAGGGACTTGGGTCTGTTTAGCCTGCAGAAGTGAAGAGTGAGGGGGGATTTGAGAGCAGCCTTCAGCTTCCTGAAGGGAGGTTCCAAAGAGGCTGGAGAGAGGCTGTTCACAGTAGTAACAGATGGCAGAACAAGGAGCAATGGTCTCAAGTTACAGTGGGAGAGGTCCAGGTTGGATATTAGGAAAAACTATTTCCCTAGGAGGGTGGTGAAGCACTGGGATGGGTTCCCTAGGGAAGTAGTGGAGTCTCCATCCCTAGAGGGGTTTAAGTCTCGGCTTGACAAAGCCCTGGCTGGGTTGATTTAGTTGGGATTGGTCCTGCCTAGAGCAGGGGGCTGGACTTGACCTTCTGAGGTCTCTTCCAGCTCTAGGGTTCTATGATTCTAAGGCACAAGGCGCGGCTTCACAGAGCCTCGCTGTGCACTGGGGAGTGGGAGGTCACCTCCCTCCTCACCGGCACTTCTCCAGGGAACTCCAAGCGCTTTGCAAAAGACTGAGCGCCCGTTGCCCTCCAGGACAGCCCCGACCTGCACACACAATCCAGGGCTCCCCTGTACTCCCTTGTCCCCGAGCCCTCAGAGCAGGTCCCTCCCACTCTCTCTCCAGACAGCCAAGGCTGTTGCCTACAGCCGGATCTGCACAGCTGCATCTAGTGCCATTCGCAGTGGTACCAAGGGATGGAGCATGCCACCCCTTTGGGAAATTCCAGCCTAGTAGATCACACTGTAGTAGACCTATTGCCCAGATGAAATGTCCCTGTTGGGCCCTTTCACACAGGAGCCTGAAGGAAGCGTATGGGCCAGGATGGATCCCAAGCCCCCATGTTTAGCAATTCCATACAAACATGCCAGACCTAACTATGTACAGACAGCTGCCTCCAACACACAGAACACAGAGAGCACCGGCTGTAGGTTCAGTTATTCCAAAGGTATTTCCCTATTCCTCCCCTCTACAGTTCCCTGGTCACTTGTCTCCCATTCACCCACTCAGCATGACTGGGGTGCGTTTCTAGTTTTTAAACTAGTTCTGACAAAATCACTGTGTACACAACTTTTCTCTGTGTTTATTGATTCCGACTTTCACGGCAGTGGGAAGTTACGGGAAGGGGAGACAATTATTTAATGGCACCAGAGGTTGAGATCCAAAAAGCTCAAGTTTCATAACCATTAAAGCACAAGCTGTCAACACCTCACAGAGTAAATTCCCCTCCCTCCAACCCTACTGCTCTCCAGCCGCATTTTTCTTACTGTACATTTTGATTGGCCCGGTGGGAATTTATTGTCCAGTTTGTCTGAGAGCGGTGAAATTGACACACACTGAATGCTGCCCAGGCCGGTCACACTGAAGAGTTCTTCCGGCCCAGCTAGATGCAGTGCTGGGAACATCCTCTGAAGATGCGCATGTCAGCAGATTCCGGCTTGCGCTAGGCGTGTGGCCGCCTCAGACTGCAGCTCCAGCTCTGAAGCCAAAGCCAGGGCACGGGCTTCAAAGCTCAACCACAGTATTCACAGAGCTGTTTTTAGGGTTCACGGTATCGGGCTAGTGGTTCGCTCAGGCTCAGCGGGTCACTGCCACGGGCTGCACAGACATATCCAAAAGGGTGGAGCTGCACTGTCTGGACTCCCGGATGTCAGCTGAGCTGGGTTATGTCTCCTGTCCTGCCACAGACTCACCCTGCGTCCTTGGGCAAGTCACTACCTCCCTGTGCCTCAGTGCCCCCCTCCTGTGGCTAACAAGGCTGATCTCTACCCCCCCTCCCCAAAACTCCCAGGCTGTACGTTTAAAACTGAACAAACAAGGCTGAGGGCAGAGGGCGTGGGGCCAGCTGGAAGTTCTGATCCCACAGTCCCTGCCTGGCAGCGGGCACCGAGCTCTGGCAGCGCTAGCGGCTCCTGCAGAGGGGGCTGGAATGCAGCCCCTGTGCCAAGTGTGACTAAGGGAGCTGCTGCTTGAATGCCTCTGACGAATTCTGAGGACACTTCACGAGCCCAAAGGATCCTTCTGTCCCTGCAGCGAGAGGAGAGGCTCCTGTTTCGGCTCCGTGGGAGCAGTGACTAACATCGGCCCCCGCGGAGGCATTAATAAACTCTGATCCGAGGGGGGCATGACTCGCCCACCTGCAGCTTGGCGACGGCATTCACAGCTCCCGGTAAATGTGCTGGCAAGTCACAGGGAATTCGCCCTCTCCCGCTGGAGGCACCGCCCCCCTCGCCCTCAGAGGAGAGAGGGGGCTCAGTGAGGCTGGGAGCAGCGCTGCAGGGGCCATGCCTGCCGGAGCAGAGCTGATCGGGGAGCCAGCTGAGGGCCTGCTTCCTGGGCCCCCTGAGACTCCACGTCGCATGCTTGGTGCAGCCCAGGGGGCCAACAACCACCCATCCTGCGAGCCCCATGGAGAGCCACATCCTGCCCTGAGAACCTAGGCCAGGCCTGGGGCAGGGCAGCCAGCCCAGACCAAAGGCTAGGGACACCCAGCAGCAGTAATGGAGCTGGAGGGTGAGCAAGATCAGAGTCATGGAATCATAGAACCATAGAGCTGGAAGAGACCTCAGGAGGTCATCAAGTCCAGCCCCCTGCTCAAGGCAGGACCAATCCCAACTAAATCAACCCAGCCAGGGCTTTGTCAAGCCGAGACTTAAACACCTCTAGGGATGGAGACTCCACTACTTCCCTAGGGAACCCATCCCAGTGCTTCCCCACCCTCCTAGGGAAATAGTTTTTCCTAATATCCCACCTGGACCTCTCCCACCACAACTTGAGACCATTGCTCCTTGTTCTGCCATCTGTCACTACTGAGAACAGCCTTTCTCCATCCTCTTTGGAACCTCCCTTCAGGGAGTTGAAGGCTGCTCTCAAATCCCCCCTCACTCTTCGCTTCTGCAGACTAAACAGATCCAACTCGCTCAGTCTCTCCTAATAAGACGAGTGCTCCAGCCCCCTAATCATTTGGGTCGCCCTCCGCTGGACCCTCTCCGATGCGTCACACAGCCTGAGTGGGGAGAGGCTCACAGCCCGGGGGAAGCAGATGCCCTGGGGGCACAGCGCACAAGGGGCATGAGAGCACCCAGCCCCCCTGCAGGCAGGGTGCAGTGCTGAGAAGAGCCTGAGACTTCTGGCCCTCAGCTGCACCCCAGTTCCCTGCTGCTGGAGGGAAAGTGGGAGCAGCTAAGGGCCAGGTGCCAGGGCAGAGTCGGACGCCTGCTTGGAGTTAGCCGCTACCGGGAGCCCTGCCTGTGCTCCCC